TGAAATATATTTATGTTTGTGGTTGTAATGTGACAAAATATGGAAAAGTTCAAGGGGTATGAATACTTTTGCAAACCACTGTATTTAAAACAAGAGTTTTGTGTACAGCAGGAATGTTTGGGTTTTCCTTCTCAGCTGCAGATGTACACTAAATCACATGGGTTTTTATGGTGAACAAGTTTATATCCTCATAAGCGCAGTGTTTACTCACAGACTCGAGACCCTCCATGTGAGCCAGAACAAAGCAGCGGTACTGCTGCTGAACATCAAGAGCTCTGTTATAGTAACCGTTGTAATTCTTTTCATCTCCAAGAACAAAGATCTCTGGCAGAGAGTTCAGCCGAGCCGCAATAATGAACGGCAGAAATTCCTGGTTCTGTTTCTGCTGACTGCTGTCAACCTCCAGGAGCTGCAGATGGGACACAAGGAGACATGAAAACTGAAAAATGAAGATTAAAATGAGCAACAAAATGTTATCTCCTAAGATTTTACAGATGTCTTCTTTTCTTTGTTTCTCTTTCCACATGTAAACTGAAAGCACAATGAAAACTAACCTCTAGTTTTCACTTTATTTCCCCCACTGAAATGAAAGATGGACAATACTCAAATTGCCTGTGTCTTGATCAGAAATTAATCCCAGCATGTACATCTACAACCAATTAACTTTTAGAGTCAAACTGATTCAAAACAGCTGCTACTAAATAAGCTTAGGTAACATTTAAAAGGGTATACATTAACCCTACGGGCGATAAACCAAAAAATAACCGACACGGACATTTATGACAATAACCAACGTCATTTTGCCCATGTTGGTATTTTCTTATTTAAAAAAATGAGGAAAAGAAAAACCTGCTTGTTTTCTGTTGTGGTCTCGTTAAAGCCGCCCAGTCTGATACAGGTTTAAACAGACGCTGCTTTCAACAAATCAAACAAACCCCACAGTTTTATTCAATCAGAGCAGAGCAGGGTGGGTCTTTCTGATGTCGGCGCAGCAGTCTGCAGGATAAACACCAATCAGCCTGCAGCTCCTGTCCTGAGTGAACAAACCCCGTCCTCCACACTTTGTTCCTGAGCTAGACGTTGCTACCTAAAATCTAACACACTACAAGTTTATGTTCAGAGCGTTGTTATCTAACAGATATGTCCAACTATGCTTGCATGACCAAACTCCTCTCCTCAACAGTGCTGTTATGAGAGCACGCCTTGTTCTGTAAGAGCTGCTGTTTCAGCTCTTCCAATAAAACAATATTAACTCTAACACATAAATATTTCTTTGCCCTTATAGGAAAGATGAGCCTCCTCGCTTAGCGTTAAATGTTTTTTTATTAAATATATTAGAAACACTAAAATGACAAATTTAAACTAGAGAAAAAGCTGTTCAAAATCGTATCTTCCTAATAAAAATCCTTTTGGTCCAAATGGTTCAGGTTAAAATTTTTGTATAATGCTTCATTAGAGATACTAAACTGTGTACTTTGACTAAGAACATGGACACAGTGTAGAGTGTTACGACTATACTACACCGTGTCCTTGTGTGTGTGTGTGTGTGTGTGTGTGTGTGTGTGTGGTGGTGGTGGTGGTGGTGGGGGGGCGGTAAGAGTTATCGTGCATTTATTTATTTATATTGATTTTAGGCCATATCGCCCAGCCCTAGTATATACATCCTTAAACTTTAAAGATATTGAACTAAAATTTGGTGTAGTAGTGGATGATCACCATCCCCAGAATTTCACATAAGACCGTAAAAAGCCCCAGTGCACATTGAAGGTCATGGTGTTCAGACACCAACAAAACCACATCATTTGCAAAAAAAAAAAAAAGATGACGAGACCCTGAGGATCCCCCAGACATGATCCTCTCAACATCTGCACCTTGAGATTCTTTCCATGAACACCACGAACAGAATTGAAAACAAGGGGCAACCCTGAAAAAGTCCAGCCTGCATTGAGAACGAGCTTGACTTTGTGTAGAGAACTCAGACATATTTGGTTTGGTTTTAAAATGACAGGACAGCACTTCAGATCAAGATTGGTACCCCCATACTCCTACAGTACCCACCACCTAGAGCAACAGGGTCATAAGGTTTCTCCAAGTTCACAAACACGTAGACCAACTCCCAAAACCCCCCTTAGCAACTCTGCAAGGGTTAAGAGGAAGCCTGAGCAAAGCTTGCAGGGATTGGTTGAATATGTGTCAACCTTCCTGCCTGGAGAGACTAAATATTATAACATTCAGAGACATTAAACTGAATAGTCTGGTCTTCACTGTTATTTATTAAAAATAAAACACATATACTGACCTCCTGTAGATCCATGTCTTCGGGGTTTTCCCAGCTGTTCAGAGAAATGAGGCTTTCTGGAACAACCACTATGTAGAACCACCTGCAATAAAACACAACATCATCATGCAGGTGAAGGTTGTCAGTCGTCCGTTCTTTATCAGTTGTTGAGTGTGTGTTCAACGCACACACAAACAGCACAGACCTTACATGGGCTTCAGGCAGGACTTCAGGCAGGATAATAGTCACTTTGTCTCCCTCCTCCTCCTCACTGAGTTGGTATGGAGTGGGTTTTGAGGTCAGCAGGTCTGGAGCGGTTCGGATGGAAACCTGCTGCTGGAGGCCCCCGGCACCGTTCCCTTGGCTCATCATTGTGAAGGAATAATCTGTGTCCGGTTGGAGCTGTGTGATCAGCTTTTTCTTCAGGTGGCCCTGAACCTCCACGCTTTGATGATTGTATAAAATCTGAAGACAGACAACCTTTACTCATTTTCTGGAGCATAGTGACAAAGAATGTACTGAGAAGGTCTTTCACATTAAAATGGTAAACATAGCAAACATTTTCTTATTACACATGGACCGGTTCCTATTCCCAGATATTTAGCAGTCTACAGTACTTATGGGCAAAATGACTATAAAATCTCTTAGTGAGTAAAATTGGACGTTTTGATCGTTGTGTGTTTCAAATGCTGTCCCAATGTTAGAGTGTTGTTACCTTAAGAAGGACCTCAGATGTGGACGTTTCTGGCAGCTCCCAGGTCAGCAGGACAGAAGATTTCATTACAGCCTTCACACCAAAATTTTTGGTAAACACTGGAGAAAATTTTGAATAATTTTCAGATATTTATTACCATTATGCACATAACTAAGTCACCCTTAGCTCCCATAGCTAATCAACAATAGCAAAAACATAAGTATATTTCAGTCAGTTTTGCAGATCTTGACCTAAAATATGTGGTAGTAGCTGAGAGTTATCCTCGCATACATGTCAAGTTGTACAGATGGTCCGTAATTTACACTGATTTTACATCATTTTGCAGGTATACGAATGTATAGAGCAATCGCACAGATTTTTTCATGTTTTACATATTTTTTCAAAACCTCAGCTTCAAATTTACTTAACATGTCAGAGCCTGTAGGGTGTTAAAAAAACAATAAATAACATCAAATAACCATTTTCCAACCCGCTCTGCTGCTAGAAATAAGTTCTCCCATCCTCATTTCCTCCTGCTTTGGTGCAGCCAGGTTCAGTCATCTCCACCAGTGAGAGTCTGCAACTCCCTCCTCCCCATTTTTATTAAGAAATTTTTGTGAAAATTATGGATTTTTGAGGCTCATTATACAGGTAAACGTCCAAATGGGTTGACGTGTTTGTCCTCAACAGATTCTCTGAGAGATAACAAACCTCATAAAGCCCTGAAACATCTCAAGATCTCACTTAAAGTTTAAACAAAATATTTATAATTTATTTCATGTGCATTCCTTCAAAACATGCTAAATGTTGCTAATGGAGACAAACTCTCTAACTTCTAATCTAAACGCCAACCTGTTTCATGAAGTTGTTAAGGTGTTGCTGGTTTGATGAAGATATCTTTTTAGCTTAAATATTCTTCTTTTCAGTTATATTTTGTAGGAAATTACACCTTGTGATTCTGTTCAGCTCACTTCTGGTTTTATTTTGTACTGTATATTTACTGTTCCAGATATTTACTGCTTTTTACAATGAAGTTAAATATATTTGAACAAGCAAAAACTCTGACAATAATCTTGCTGTTAAAACAATTGAAATCTGTACTATGTTAAATGCATTTTTGGACCCCTAAACCCCTGTTTTTTTATGTTGTTGTTGTTGTTGT